GAAACGTTCATTGAATTTTTCATTAAGCCCCCCCTTCGTCGAAGGTCTGGGGCCCAGCCCCAACCGGCTCCTTCTTCCCGGGGTCCTCACCTCTCTCATCGGCCGTCTCAACTCGGCATCCAAGGAGCCTCCTCTGTCAGACGAGGATTTGGCCCCTTTCTTATCGGACCTCCGTCTCTTTCTCAACATTACAGAAGACGCTGTTTGGGAAGCGCTCCTGCTCGTGGATGAAGGCCAGCCTTTTCGCCTGCTTCTCCACTGCCTCGCCCTCATTCTGGGGTGGTAGATAGCTCTGTCTCCGGTGTTACTTCTCATACCCGGCTCCCTAACCGGTGTCCCAACCCCACTTTGATGGATGTCCGTCTGTGCTCCCCGGTTTTCTCTGCCCGAGAACGCTTATGGTGCCCGCGCCAGCAGTTTTTACTGGTCCCGGATGGCCGGTCTCTTGGTCCGGCTGTCCCACCGTCTCTGGTACGTGTCCCATTCCGGCTTCATCTATGTAGATGACCTATTGGCTGTGCTTGAGGATGTCAGTGCACCACTCTGGTCCGGCTTACTAGTTGTGTTCCTTCTGATCCTCCGGGTCCCGTTGAGCTGGCAGAAGGCCAGCCGCCTGTCTCCCCGGGTGGTCTGGATTGGCTGGGAGTTTGATTTTTCTCTCCTTCTGGTCCGCTTGGAATCATCCAAAGCAGTCCGGATTCTTGCCCTCATTGACTTCCTCTTACAATGCCGCTCTTGCTCTCTTACGGACTTGGAGCGCATTACCGGTAAGCTCTTGTGGGTCTCGGTCCTCTTTCGCTCTCTCCGGCCTACCCTGACCCCCCTTTACCGAGATCAGCATAGACTTCCTCCGGTCATGTGCGCTCTGACTCCGGACCAGTGGTCGTCCTTGCGACCTTTCATCACCCCTGGTTTGCGTTTCGCACGTAATCTGGGCATCCCGTCAATCCAGGTAGGCGCTTCCTTGCTCCGGGTCGGCCAGTCGGCCATTTCCTCCCTGTCGGACTTGCCTGCTAATCCGGTTGAGTCCCGCCGGGTCTGGATCCAGCTCACTGCCACCCACAGCCCTACGCGCACTGTCTCTGAAGAGTCCAGGGTTGCACTCCGGCTTTGGCGCGATCTTATCGCCTCTGGGGTACCCTTCCGGTCGCTCCGCCTGCCACCCACGCTTTCCCTGGAGGCTTTGCGCCTCTGCCACGTCTGTGGGCCTTGGCGGCTTCGTCCGTCTTCCGTCCGGTGACCGGCTCTACTTCCAGCAGCACTTTGATGCTCCGTGCCCGTGGCTGAGTCCTTCCCAGTCTCTCCAGCCGTTCATCAGCACCTGGGAACTCCTTGCACAGTGCGCACTACTTGTGCTCCTGCATGGGCATCCGCCGGTGCATGTGCTGTTTCGTTGTGACAATTCGACTGCCGAGGCGGCCTCCTGGAAGGGACTTTCCATGGCCAATGGCCTTTGTCACGTCTTAGGCCAGTTTCTTCGTTTCCAGAACTGGTTCCGGATCGTGGTATCGATCCCTGGCTTCCAAAATGATTTGGCGGACTCATTGAGCCGTGGGTGCTCCCCCGCTCTTTTGGGCTTCACTTCGGAGAAGCATGCCTCTGTGTCCTGGGAGGACCTTCTCTCCGCTTCCCCGGTCCGCATCTCGTCCGGTTCGGACGACTTGTCCCCCTTTCTATCTGCGTTGGCCTGAGTTGGTGTTGGGCG